CAAAACTGCCAAGGGAGTCCTAGGGAGGGGGATTTANGGGTTTTAAAATCTATCTTTAAAAAACCCTAAAACCTTAAGGAGGGGGTTGGGAAAGAGAGATGAGATGAGATTTACGACTTCCTGTTGTCAAGCTCTCTTTTTGGCAATACCCCTCACGTCAACTGATGATGGACAGACAGACAGACAGACAGACAGATGGCGACGGAACCCACAAATACTCTCTCTCTCTCTCTCACCAAGTTGACCACGCCAGGCGACGGCCACAGGGCCTTATTGCCGTACAACTTCCTCAGCGGCCCGCCGTCAGCATACTCCTGAATGATGTACAGCCGCCACTCCTGCACGTGATGTCGTACAACACCCGTACGGCACCAGTACGGTGAAAAAAACGACTTATCAACAGCAATACCACTACCACCGGCAAAACAGCAGATATAGTCCTACCGCCCACTTATCGAACCATCCTAACCCCCACAACCACCTCAACCAACACCATCAGGCCACAGTAGTCTTAGTAGTAGTAGGTACTCGTCATCTAGGCTCAATAGATAGTCATCTAGGCTCAATAGATAGTAGGTACTCGTCATCTAGGCTCAATAGATAGTAGGTGCTCCGCACCTAGTTGTCCCCTTCTTCCCCTTTAGTTCCCCTAAAGGGGAAGACGTATGTTTTTGTAGGTTATTGCCTGACTAATGGATGTTATCAGCTGCTGCTTTGTGATTGGGGATAATGTTTTGGGTTGGGTTTTTGGTATATGTGTAAAGTATAATATATGGCTGCAATACAGGTGTAGGTACAGTCCAGATTTCGGTATGGACATGGATCGTTCATACCATGTTGAACACTGCCCATCCCATCAGCATGTGGCCTTTGCCGTCACGCATACATACGTACATACACACATACAAACGCTCATACGTACAACACTCCCGACGTCGCTTTAGGACTTTGGCAGTTGATTCTTAATTTGCGCGTTGAATTGCGGTCCCTTCTTCGTCCCGTCCCCTGCCGTCCTCTTTTCTATGTAATATTGAAACGAATAAAAATCGGACACCGGGTCTATAGAGTTTCGTTCGTAAGACCGTACGCGTTTGAGTTAATATAACGTCCTACTTTCTAATTTTATTTTTTGTCTTCTGTCCCCTTCGTGAGGATACTCTCCCTCTTTTTTTCCCCTGCGCTCGGTAACTTGGCTTTGCTGGGGCCGCTGTTGGACGCACCATCACCACCCGCCCCACCGCCACCACCATCTTCAGGGGCAAGTCGGGCCGCCATCAGACGGTGAGTGGGTGGTTGGAAACGTTAGGCAGCCCAGTGTTTCTTTTGGTAATATATTACTTTTTTGGGAATAAAGGGGGGTCTGAGCCTGGAAGAAATGGAATCGTTGGTCAGTTGGCCGTACCGGTTCATTACTTCGGCCATAAGTCGCCCCAAATGCCTGCCGACAGTGTACATATATATAACTTTGCCTTCGCGTGCTCACGACGTTTATGGACAGTCAAAGTGGCTCCGCGCCCTGCTCACAGAGACACTGGCGCCCATGCAGTTAGGTGCACAGAACGATGGTGGTACGGCATGTGTGTTTCCGTCAGGTGTTGTTTACAGCACACCTTAAGGACTTTGAGGGGGGGGGTCTGGGGGGGCGCAGCCCCCCCCAGCGACTAAAAAAATAGGAATTGTAACCGCAAGAAACACCCAGTTTGTTACTCTAGGGTACTAGGCCCAAAACGAAAATAAAAACTCTGGGGCAGCCGTAGCAGAGTAGTGGCGTGAACAGGCAGCAGCAGCAATGTCCACATGAAGATTGCTGCTGTCGGTCCGTCGTTGTCTGAAGTCGCCGTTTCGAATCCAGGTGCCATTCTAATCCAGCTGCTCTCCCATTTCCGATTTCCCCCTTCCCCTTACCTTTCCCTCTCTCTCTCTCTCTGCCGCTCCTTGACCGGCTTCCTTCCCCCTCCCCCTCCCCCCTTTCCGCCCCTCCCCGTCCCGCTTGTCGTCGTCTACATCACTACACCGCTATACCCCTACCTCCCCCCCCACACACACAACACACAACCCTACCCCCCCACACACACATACATACATACATGCAACCACCCAAGTGTTCTCGCTGGGTGTGATGCTATGGGAGCTCTACCACGGCCGCCGCGCCGGCATCCGCACCGACCAAGGCCCCCGGTATAGCAGCATCTTCCCCGCCTTCCCACCCTCGTGCCCGGAGACCTACCGGGCAGTGGCGCTTCATTGCTTGCAACGTCAGCCCCAAAACAGGCCGCCAGCGATCCTTGTGGAGGCGCACCTGGAGCGCCTCATGGCCGCCGTCGCGACGGCAGTGCCGGTGGCGACGCCGCCGTCATCACCGTTGATGTTGTCGCCGCCGCCGCCGCCGCATCCGCCGCATCCGCCGCAGCGCATGCCGGCGGCTCTCATCAGTCCGGTCTTGCAACGTGCTCCTGGTCCTCCGCCGCCTCCTGCTCCTCCCCCTCCTCCTCCCCCTCCAGAGCTGGGCTCTCTAGCGACAGGAGCAGCAGGGGACTCTTTCACGGGGTCGAGTATGCTGCCGTCGACGCAAGGCCACGGAGCCGGGGCCAGCAGTGAGACAGACAGACAGACAGACAGACAGACAGACAGACAGACAGACAGACAGACAGACAGACAGACAGACAGACAGACAGACAGACAGACAGACAGACAGACAGACAGACAGACAGACAGACAGACAGACAGACAGACAGACAGACAGACAGACAGACAGACAGACAGACAGACAGACAGACAGACAGACAGACAGACAGACAGACAGACAGACAGACAGACAGACAGACAGACAGACAGACAGACAGACAGACAGACAGACAGACAGACAGACAGACAGACAGACAGACAGACAGACAGACAGACAGACAGACAGACAGACGACGGAACGAATTCCTAGGAGGCCATCTGGCGCCGCCGCCGACGTACAACGACGTACACATCACCAAAACGGCTATACTATATATAGAGATTATGTGAACAGTAGTTTATCTGTGGTATAAATCTGCGCGCCGACGGGCGGAGATGGGCGGGGAAGACAGGCAAAGATTGTGTACGGGTGCGTCCTGGCAGGATTCAGTTCCAGATCGAGATCCAGATCCAGGCGATGTGTGTTTAAAACTCAAAAGGTGAGTCAGGCTACGTAGATTCCAGATTCAGGTCCAGATCCAGCAAGCAGGAATCACGCAGCATGTTTGATGTGGTGACGTGTACGGTACGGCACTGCCGTAAAAGCAACGAATCTCTCTAGAATCTTCACACTTTGAGGAAAAGGTGTTGACAATGTAATGTTACAGAGTGGGAGGCTTCTGGGCCACTTTATCACATTGTCAGTTCTACGATTTATCACCTTATAGCACCATCCACCACTACCACACTGTCTTCGCCATACGAACTGTAAGTCCAAGGCGGCGGATCCAGCCTTCAGGGACCCCTCCTCATCATTCACCCGAACATCCGAAGAGTCGGAGGGTTTGGCAATCGCCACCGACCCAGCGTGCGAATCTGGTTCATCAACTGTGACCTCAACTCCACATCTCAGCAGCTAGCCTTAATCTCGTTCTCCCGAGTAATCCGGGGGTCTTCCCGGGAATCGAACCCAGGATCTTAAACCGCTCTTTGCAGTAGTGTCTACCCAGACCAGACCAGATTTAATAAATAGCATGTGTCAGACTGCGAATTATACAACTCGTTGGAACGACGGCCCGACTTGGCCTTGCAAGGCACTTTCACGTACACACCACATATGCACTTAAATCAGGTGAATACACACTGGCCGAAACGTCAGAGTACGGTAACCCGGTGCGGCCGCCATTTGCATGAGCGTTGTCGTCCACAGCCACTACAGCCAAAACAACTGTGTGGTGGGAACTCAATTCAATTCAATTCAGCTAAGCAACAACAGTAAATAAAATTTTGGGAGGGCCTTCCTTCGGAGCCATCACGCGCAGCGTACAGCGTACTTTTGAATTTTGGATGGAACAACCGAAATAATAATGAGATGATGCGTCCAAAACGTT